CACCCATCACCAAGGAAGGTAATGAGAATCTTGCTCTTCAAAAAGCTGTCACACGAAACAATTGCCTTTATCAGAAAGCTAAAATCTCACGAGCATTATGTCTATACCCAAGACTGCAGTACGCAGTAGGTTTTATAGAAAATATATTTGTACATAGACAATGTGTCAGGTTAAACATCTGGCTAAATTCTAAACTAGCTGAACTGAAACTAGCTACTATTTTTTTTTATTTTCCCCGAGGGGCGAGTTTATTGGGCAGCGCAACTCATCTTGTGAGTGGATATACCGCCATAGCAGCATGTCATCATGAACAAGGATGAAGTTGAACTAAACCTAGGTAGCCCCATCTCTGTTTAAAGCAATATTGTCCTAATAGCGTTCACATCTGATAGAGAAACTACACTTTCAAAAAGCCTGAAAGCGCCAACGTAAAAAGTTGATTATAATTTGACGATCTAGGTATATGGGCAGCACAAAACATCGAGCGCGGATAACAAGATCAGGCTAGGCTACCGTTACAGGTGGCAGGCTGCTACAAGGGACGGATCTCCCATGTCCTGAGCATTCCATGATGTAAACCCTGAGCAAGAATTCATGATCTCTCGCACTATATTACCGTCCAGCCACTATAGGCCCTTCAGACCTGTCTATCATATCGGTAACTGGAGGTTTCGTAATTTACTCACACGTGTTACTGTACCTAAAGTTTGCAAGCGCAGGCTACTCAACACGTGGCCCTGTACTAATAATCATACTGCATGATGTGGGATTTCTTAGCATTTCGTACCTAGTGATACACACCATGTAACACTTCATATAGTCTATGGTAATTGCAGAAATGCAGATGTATCTAAATATGGTAATAAAAACAACCCTTCAGCACTGAATACTGATTAATATTCGAGATGAGGGCTTACACCATCTAAAAATGCCAAAGCTCTCAAAAATTTACACTTTATGCATTAGGCCTACGAACGATGTAAATGAATCATGCCAAAAATTGCATTTCACGGCGCTATAGGCTATGCACGAATCTATCCGGACAGAACATATAACAACGCATTCAAATTTGGATATATAAATGATAAAGCAACTCGTCCTCGTCAACAGAGGCCAAGGTTCATTCCATGTAACCATCAAATCGTTTATGAATGTTAAACGCTTTACACACAACCCGTCCTCAGGCCACGCTCGTTAAAGTCGATCCCCCAATACGTATTAATAAATGTTAACGTATTGTGCACTAAGAAGTGATTAGTTACTTCTCATTTATATATTACTATTTATTAAAGTTCCATGTATAGTTAGGCATAGGTTAGGTGGTTAAGTTTTGTTAACTATTATTCAACGCATCCTCCGATTAGACAGTACGTTTTAATACTAAATATACCAAGTACATTCCTTACTGTCTGCAAAGTACATAGTACACTTAATTGTGCCGTTACATTTACCTTCCCATATATTCCTCATTTTCTGTTAAGACACTCAAAATTTTAGGATGAAGTTTTCATGTTCAATTCTATATACACAACACACACAGAGATCACACTAACGTGATGCATCAAATGAACAAATCCACAAGGGCCGTGACGAGGATTCGAACCTGCGACCGGGAGCATCCCAGACACTGCCTTCGGTTTCAACCCTTTTACCCTGTCGTAGCTCAGTCGTTTAAGGCAGTGTCTGGGATGCTCCCGGACGCAGGTTCGAATCCTCGTCACGGCCCTTGTGGATTTTTTCTATATACACAAGTTTTAAATAAAGAATTTATTTTTCAGTTTTATTAAACAATAGAGATTTTATACAAAATTTGAAAATATCGTGAGTTACTTTATAATTTATTGAAAGATTTTAGTTTTGTTTTATTAGTTTTATAAAACTGTCATATCAATATAGCTATAGGTTAAGTTCTAATTGCAGACGAGGAGTCGCAATAACGTGGCTGAAATATGTTGACCAAACCAAACACTAGAAAGTGAAGGGACGACGACGTTTCGGTTCGTCCTGGACCATTCTCAAGTCGAAACGTCGTCGACCCTTCACTTTCTAGTGTGTGTGATTTAGTCAACAATAAGTACTAACTGTAATCAAGAAGCAATAAAATGCTTTTCCTCCTACACTAAGAAGGTTAGGTTAGGTCGTGGTTTTCTATACAGCTTTTCAGGTAAACTCTAATATTCACAATATTTTGGTGCAATTGTGACGATTAAGTGTATTTATGTACTAAGCCGGTAGTCGGGATTGTACTTATTATATTTAGTATTAAAACGTGTCTATTCGGAGGAGGGGCTGCGATTATTTGTGTTTGAAGTACGCGGGAGCAGCATTTCAACCCGTCTTCACACTAGGCTGTTTAAAGAAGTGGCCCTCCTACCCAGACGCATTCATCAATTTTAACATAATGTATATTAAAAATTGATTTGTTCTCGTATATAAATAGTATTATACATAAAAATTACATGTATAGTTAGGCGTAGGTTAGGTGTTTAGATTCTGTTGGCGATTATTTGTTTTTGAAGTACGTGGGTGAAGCATTTATAGAATTGTGGTTCGAACAGAGGACGTGAGCGAAGCACTTGTTCCCGAAGTGTCCGGACGTCACCAGTTGAGAGTCGTGTGTAAACCGCTTTTCATTCATAAACCCTACCACTTAGACTGGACGGTAGAGCGACGGTCTCGCTTCATGTAGGTTGTTCAATCCCCGACCGTCCTAGTGGTTGGGCACCATCCCTTCCCCCCGTCCCATCCCAAATCCTTATCCCTTCCAAGTGCTATATGGTCGATGATGAGTCACAACGTGGCTGAAAAAATGTTGCAGCCAGATCCACAGTCCCGAGAGGGGGGGGGGAGGGGCAGACTGAGCCAATCCTGAGGCCGGATCACATACAAGAGATTTCAAAGACGACAACGTTTTGGTCCGTCCTGGACCACTGTCGACTTGATAATGGTCCAGGACGGACAGAAACGTCGTCGTCTTTTCAATTTCTAGTGTGTGGTTTGGTCAACGCTATATAGTCGTAATGGCTTAGCACTTTCTCCCGATAGTTCCTTTCATAAACAGGGGGGGTTTGGCGGTTGGATTAACGAGCTTGGATCTTTGTATGGATGACGGGCTGTGAGAGTTGCGTGAAGCGTTTTTCACTCATAAACCAGCCCGTCTGCGTATACAAAAGATCCAAGCTCGTTAATCCAGCCGCACAGTACAGGTAAAAACCAAGTGTTACCAACAGTAACACAACATATATTTGTTATGATGTCTTGTGAAGAACAGTCATCAAGTTCCCTTCTAATACGATAATTGATGAGTTGTAAGTTTGTCTCTTTGTCTCGTCAATGTTATATAATTAGTACCATGTAACATTTTACAATAAAATACAAATGGAGGTAGACGAAGCTTACTCATACGAATTCGGGCACCAACAAGACTCTCTTTCATTGCTCCATATTTCTTTCTCCAAGGCTATGGGTCCCCCCAATATTGAACCGTAAGTGGCACCCCTTAATAACAACAACAACAACAATAATAATAATAATAATAATAATAATAATAATAATAATAATAATAATAAATAAATAATAAATATTAATACTAATAATAATGATGAGAAAATCCGTAGGAGCCGTGATGTGGGTTCGAACCTATGCGGTGGGTGTTCCCAGGCACACGCTTCTAGCAACTAGACCACCACATGGTATAAGGATCGCAACCTAGAGTTATACGGAACACACGAGGATTTCCCGAGGCTTTTACTGGAGCCGGAACAGGTTTTTCACACAATCCCCCCATGCACTGTGGCTCTGTCATCTAGGACTTGTTCTACCTCTGACCCCCCTCTTTCAATACACTGAAAGAGCATAGATTTTTTTTTTTTGAGATATATACAAGAGTTGTTACATTCTTGTACAGCCACTAGTACGCGTAGCGTTTCGGGCAGGTCCCTGGAATACGATCCCCGCCGCGAAGAATCGTTTTTTCATCCAAGTACACATTTTACTGTTGCGTTAAACAGAGGCTACAGTTAAGGAATTGCGCCCAGTAAATCCTCCCCGGCCAGGATACGAACCCATGACATAGCGCTCGCGGAACGCCAGGCGAGTGTCTTACCACTACACCACGGAGATTTGAACCCTAATCATTGTTCCTACGGATTTCCTCACTAATGCAGTCACGTTACTGTGATTACTGTGTAATAATAATAATAATAATAATAATAATAATAATAATAATAATACAACCCATCCACCTGCTTAGATAGTACGCTTTGTATCTATGTGGACCATCGTACATATATTGACGGATTGGAAAATTAGTAGAATTTGGTACTATTCACTTTATATAGCCAGAAAAAATAAAGCTATAAAACAAATATTCCTGGGCCTAATATAGCACATGTATATGTACTATATTAAGCCTCAGATAGCGTGTATCCGAGGCCTAACCTAGGAAGGTTGGGTTAGGGTACGTTTTCTTTGCAGCATCAGTACAAAAAACGTTTCCAGTTTGTTAAAATTCAATAATACCGATTTCTACTTTTCTAATATGCCTTTTAAATATATATATTTACGATGACGCTTATAGTTACTATACAAGTATTATCTAAAGAGGAAGATGGGTTGAAATATAACAATTCGAGGGGGGGGGGGGCAGGAAGCCAGGATAGGTTTATGATGTTTGGAGGCTGGGTTGTTGTAATAGGATAAAAACAACTGTCCACATAAAGAAAATGCAATTGACGTTATAATCCACCCCCGGACACTTAAGAATTGGGCTTGAAGCCTGCCATTCCCTGGAGGACTATTAAAGTCTACCAGCTACCTCTGGAAGGTTATTAAAACCTACCAGCTACCTCTGGAAGGCTATTAAAGCTTATATATACCCATGGAGGATCCAGGACTAAAGGAAATTCAGTGTGTGTACTCTGAGAAGCGAGGTACAAGCGTGTCCTGGACCCTTGCTGCGATTTATTCTCAACTTCTATCTAATTACATTGATGACTTACGCGAGAAGGAGGCGAGAGCAATCTTCTGGAGGTGTGCCTGCGTGTCTCTGGCGTAGATCAGGATGGCCGAGGCGTTGAGGGCCAGAGCGTTGGCCACCTTATCCCTGTCCGAACACTGGCCCCGGGACACCAGGGCCACCCATGGCTCCCCTATCGGCACGCCAATCCAGGGCGTCGAACACCCGTGCCGGCTGTACCTGTTGGGGCCGGCGGGCCCCTGGGCCGGATGGCCCACAACCACCACACCCGTGGCCGTCCCCACAGCCCCACTGCCGAACTTGCCCACCTCGGCGACGTGGGTGTGGCCGCCGTAGGGGTCGCTGAAGGACAGGTTGAGGTGGGCCAGGGTGATGGTGGCCCCTTCGTAGGACCAATCACCAGTCACGCCCACCGCCATCCCCACCACCGCCCACACCGCCCACATCCTCGGCCCACACCACGGCGCCACCACGGAACCATCACCGGACCACACGCGGCCGATCCATCACACGTGGCTTTTTCTAATGCATTTACGGCCAGACTTTTCAATATATACTTCAAGCCGTGAAGGGCCTTGGGATTTTTCAGTGACGTCAAAATGACGAGTTGAAAATGTCCTTGTTACCGATGGCAATTATCACCATTTATATTTACTGCACTTGGCACAGGCATGTGCCGACTGGCTCAGGGGCTGGACAGCACAGGGCCAGGACATCACAGGAACAGGATCACAGGTACAGGATATCACAGGAACAGGAAATCACAGGAACAGGAAATCACAGGAACAGGAAATCACAGGAACAGGAAATCACAGGAATAGGATATCTCAGGGGGGGGGGGGAGGATATCACAGGGACAGGATATCACAGGGACAGGATATCACAGGAATAGGATATCACAGGGGAGGGGGCAGGATACCCCCAGGAGACACCATTGTTTCAACAGAGCGGCGCGCGGATACTTTTTCCAAGACAAAAGATTTAACTTATCACTAATTCACGGGCTTGTGCTGTAACCCGCCAGGCCAACAACCATAAGCTCGGACCAGTCTTCTGCGCCGCCCACCAAACACTTGCGAAAAAAAACAAATGCCGACAAGGAAGGTTCAGAGACGGACAAGTCCTCACGAGAATACGAGACGCATGTAATGAGAGCGGCGGAAGCGACAGCGACCCTCACCGTCCCGCAGCTGCACCTTGACTGGCTGCCTCACACTGCTGTTGCTTCCTCAGCCCCGCTCTCAGCTGTTCTGCCACCGGTGCCAAACATCGTATTTTACTACCGATTATTATTACCTTTACTCGCTGTCTCTCCATTATATTATCATATATAAGGTCTATAACAATTGAGACCTGATTTACGAGCCGAAAATAATATTTAAGGTATTTTAAAATATTGCTAAAAATGGGTATGGTATGTAGGGTGATGGGTTGCCACGCGCCGCTAACCACGTGTTCCTCACCCCAATTAAAACAATAACTGCTACCTGGATTAAATACCATCAACCGTATTAATATATTTTTGCAAATATGTATCAATATCTGCAACCATTTCCCTTGCTCTGCAGTCATTTAATATATTTATTTATCTATATATATATATATATATATATATATATATATATATATATATATATATATATATATATATATATATATATATATATATATATATATGCATTGCGATCGTTTAATTTGCTTTGGTAGTAGAGTGGCTACACGTTCTCGTGTCACAATCAGGGATCCCGAGTTCGATCCCCGGGCGGGGCAGAGGCGGTTGGGCACGTTTCCTTTCATCTAGTGCCTCTATTCACCTAGCAGTCAATAGGCACCCTAGAGTTAGGCAGCTTTTATGAGGTTGCATCCTGCCTTGGGATATATATATATATATATATATATATATATATATATATATATATATATATATATATATATATATATATATATATATATATATATATATATATATATATATATATAACTGAAAACTCACACCCCAGAAGTGACTCGAACCCATACTCCCAGGAGCAACGCAACTGGTATGTACAAGACGCCTTAATCCACTTGACCATCACGACCGGACATAATGAGGTGATAGCCGAGGCTATTTGAACCACCCCACCGCCGGCACTCGGATAGTAATCTTGGGCATAGCATTTTACCAAATCACCTCATTCTTTGGGGCACATGTGAGGAACACAAATGCGAACCTGCCTGAATGGTCCCCAGGACAATATGCAACTGAAAACTCACACCCCAGAAGTGACTCGAACCCATACTCCCAGGAGCAACGCAACTGGTATGTACAAGACGCCTTAATCCACTTGACCATCACGACCAGACATAATGAGGTGATAGCCGAGGCTATTTGAACCACCCCACCGCCGGCACTCGGATAGTAATCTTGGGCATAGCATTTTACCAAATCACCTCATTCTTTGGGGCACACGTGAGGAACACAAATGCGAACAAGCCTGAATGGTCCCCAGGACAATATGCAACTGAAAACTCACACCCCAGAAGTGACTCGAACCCATACTCCCAGGAGCAACGCAACTGGTATGTACAAGACGCCTTAATCCACTTGACCATCACGACCGGACATAATGAGGTGATAGCCGAGGCTATTTGAACCACCCCACCGCCGGCACTCGGATAGTAATCTTGGGCATAGCATTTTACCAAATCACCTCATTCTTTGGGGCACACGTGAGGAACACAAATGCGAACAAGCCTGAATGGTCCCCAGGACAATATGCAACTGAAAACTCACACCCTAGAAGTGACTCGAACCCATACTCCCAGGAGCAACGCAACTGGTATGTACAAGACGCCTTAATCCACTTGACCATCACGACCGGACATAGTGAGGTGATAGCCGAGGCTATTTGAACCACCCCACCGCCGGCACTCGGATAGTAATCTTGGGCATAGCATTTTACCAAATCACCTCATTCTTTGGGGCACACGTGAGGAACACAAATGCGAACAAGCCTGAATGGTCCCCAGGACAATATGCAACTGAAAACTCACACCCCAGAAGTGACTCGAACCCATACTCCCAGGAGCAACGAACCGGATAAGATTACTATCCGAGTGCCGGCGGTGGGGTGGTTCAAATAGCCTCGGCTATCACCTCATTATGTCTGGTCGTGATGGTCAAGTGGATTAAGGCGTCTTGTACATACCAGTTGCGTTGCTCCTGGGAGTATGGGTTCGAGTCACTTCTGGGGTGTGAGTTTTCAGTTGCATATTGTCCTGGGGACCATTCAGGCTTGTTCGCATTTGTGTTCCTCACGTGTGCCCCAAAGAATGAGGTGATTTGGTAAAATGCTATGCCCAAGATTACTATCCGAGTGCCGGCGGTGGGGTGGTTCAAATAGCCTCGGCTATCACCTCATTATGTCCGGTCGTGATGGTCAAGTGGATTAAGGCGTCTTGTACATACCAGTTGCGTTGCTCCTGGGAGTATGGGTTCGAGTCACTTCTGGGGTGTGAGTTTTCAGTTGCATATTGTCCTGGGGACCATTCAGGCTTGTTCGCATTTGTGTTCCTCACGTGTGCCCCAAAGAATGAGGTGATTTGGTAAAATGCTATGCCCAAGATTACTATCCGAGTGCCGGCGGTGGGGTGGTTCAAATAGCCTCGGCTATCACCTCATTATGTCCGGTCGTGATGGTCAAGTGGATTAAGGCGTCTTGTACATACCAGTTGCGTTGCTCCTGGGAGTATGGGTTCAAGTCACTTCTGGGGTGTGAGTTTTCAGTTGCATATTGTCCTGGGGACCATTCAGGCTTGTTCGCATATATATATATATATATATATATATATATATATATATATATATATATATATATATATATATATATATATATATATATATATATATATATATATATATATATATATATGTCTCTATGTCTCATTGAATATGACCGTATATTCTGTAGTTACTATCTTCTGATTTAGGGTTCCTATCCCTCTAACTATTTTCCTAGCATCAGGGCTTACCTGAAAGAGTTCTCCAAAACTCATTTTCGTTATTTCAAGGTGAAGAAAAAAGTGAATTACTATAGAATGTAATACACTTATTTATACAATTTGCACAACGTTTCGAACCACCATGGTTCGTTCTCAAGTGAAAAGAAATTACAGAATTCGTTAATTTATACCAGTACGGGGTCAGGTGATAAAACAAGTATAATAAAGGTAAAGACAAGGCCATGGTTGTGGAGGTAGAACACATGGGTACGTGACCTTACCCATCGCTAGGGAGGACCTTTACTACCTACGGACGCCTGTACCTGACAAGGTATTTCCTGGTATCATCACTAAGGAATTTACCAAAAAATAGTGCTGTTTTTTTTCTACCACAGACGTGGCCACACATTTACAATGCTAACCAGCATATATACATTTTCTTCTGTCCTCCATGGACAGGGTTAGAGAAGTGTTAAACATACAGTTCAAGGGTTTATTGAACAATCAACCACAGAAGGTGATTGTAGTGCTTTTAAAATGCTAATCTAACCTACATACGTAAATACATAGATACACAGATTTACGTATGCCCTACATAAAGTGTTCGATGTGTCTTTTACATAGTGTCATTAATGTGCATTTACAAAGGTGAAATGTAATTCTGATCAGCTTCCATATATACTTTATACACATACACACACACACATATACATACATATATACACACACATGCATTCACATAGTGACAGGGCGCGAATCAGTGCCGCTTGTAACAGGCAAGAATCTTACACATTCCGGAGCAACTTTTCCTCTTACAAAAAAGCGTCGCTTTTCACTCGTATGCGTTACATACGGCCAAAAATTGTTGTACTAGAAAATGAAAGCGGCTGGCGAAAGTGACGTACTGTCCCGTTTTCTGTTTTGGGTCCTCTGGTAGGTTAGGAGAGGGCACTTTAAATTGACCATTTTCTTGACGTTGGGAAACCTTAGGAGGACGGACTGCTTCCTCCACCGTACGGTGTATGTTATCTCATGTTGGGTACGATCACGTATTCTGTATTCCCGCCCAAACGTGCCCGCGAATAGCTTTCGAACAGTAAGGTCTATTACACACAGAGATCACACTAACGTGATGCATCAAATGAACAAATCCACAATAAGGCATTCAGTGTGGGCACGTTGGCAAGGCCATGGGCACGTGGCCTTACCCATGATTGTGGAGTGACGACGTCACTCGTCATCGTCGTCGTCGAATGACGACGTCAATTAGGGAGCCGGTCGGCCGAGCAGACAGCACGCTGGACTTGTGATCCTGTGGTCCTGGGTTCGATCCCAGGCGCCGGCGAGAAACAATGGGCAGAGTTTCTTTCACCCTATGCCCCTCTTACCTAGCAGTAAAATAGGTACCTGGGTGTTAGTCAGCTGTCACGGGCTGCTTCCTTGGGGTGGAAGCCTGGTCGAGGACCGGGCCGCGGGGACACTAAAAAGCCCCGAAATCATCTCAAGATGGTTGTGGAGAGAGAACACATGGGCACGAGGCCTTACCCATGTACCTTACCCTTACCCATGGTTGTGTTGTTCAGTCAGGTCTAAAACTTGTACTGACAGATAAATGATGACGTCATGGTGACGTCACACACAGCTGGCGTGGGCCTTCATGAAAATTAGACAATTATCAATAAGCAAAATTGTCATAAACACGTGGAGTCATCAGGATGAAATATCTGTAATAAAAAGGTTTTATTTATACACTTCCTCTTGGTTATACTTATTTATCTAGGCCTATGGTCCAGTACGAGTCGTATTACTGGACCGTAAGCTAAAAAAAAAAAATAGTTTTACTTCGAAATATACTAATTTTATAAGAAAATTCGACGTAAATAGTGTGAGGGGGTGGTTCACCAGCTCACTTACAATAGTGCTCTTATGCCTGTGGGAGCCAGTACACTTGTTAAGTGCACTTGTTAAGTGGGCGGACTTAAGTTTTGTACCAGCAACCGAAACATGTAGTGTTTGGGCTCATGTGAGAGCCCCAGTCATCAGCAGTCCATAAATGTTACCCTGGCCGGGGTGGCATGTCTGTGGACAGTGCTAGAGCTGATAGCATCATCTCATTGTATGGCATGGAGCCAGACAACTTTGCGCGCGAACGCCTAGGCCGCAGGCGTGGGGTGAAACATGTGGGGTCCCACGCTCGCCGGCCACTTGAGTGGTTGTCATGGAAACCAGCCGCCATCTT